TTTTCGTGTTAGTGCGTCGGAAACCGCTGCCTGTGAAAGTGCCTGACTTTGAGGCAGCGGGCATTGAACAATGAAGTCAGTCAGCATTGTTGGCTGACCGCCACAAATATAATAGTTCAATAGGTACATGGAATTCTACGTATGTGGTTTCTTTCCTTTTTTGAACCTGAAGAGAGACGCGGGGGAAGAGTCCGATTTGCCTATCTCACCTTGAAGTCCATATTGGCAAAGCGATGGTCACGGTCGCCTATTGTTAGTGTCCTTTGCCTTGGGTGCGTATACCATTTCATGATCCTTACTATTGAATCGACTTTTGCGTAATTAGAGGGGATACCCTGTCAATACTAACAATTTGGAATCTGATAAAGGAAGGCTCCTCTATGGCGGCGTAGCTGAAATACTGAAGTAGTAATTTGCGTTGAGATGCAATCAGACTCAGCTTAAAACAGGTGTGGCATAGGTACTGCTCAGCAGTCTTAAACAAGCATCTCAGAAGCAGTGGCTCTGTACTTGGGCTACAATTACCAGCTGCATGCAAATATATGGTCTATACATAGGTCGACTTTCTTTGCGGGAAGATGAGATGCTATGCCCAGAATGCTGGCATTAGCAGGCCGTCACTGTTTGATCCCCCGAGGTCTTATGAGGTCAGAATATCGCGTTTCAAGGTGCAATTTCCTTAGAAGATGCACAAGTCCCCTTGTTTTTTTCTACCCTGTCCTGCATTTAACAAGACAGTAAGATAAGCATAATTCGCTCTTCGAACCCAATGCAAAAGGTGGTATTGGCTGACACTGATTAGCAAATTTGCACTAGCGTGTGGTCACGGTCGGTGAACACAGCAATAAGGGCTTTTGTTCTGTGGACGACGCCAAAGCGGCCCGATCTCAGGAGGAAACAAACTGAAGCCGAGAAGGAGAAGCGAAACTGTAAGCATCGTTTCTGATGAGTCATCGGTGAGTCACACATCATGCCTTGAGCCAGAGCATCTTTCTCATTAAGGACTGCTAACCCACGACTGTTGATCATTGAGCACAATATTCTATCATTGCACCGTGGACCCATTGTTTTTGTCGGTTGCGATGTGAAATATGATGAAAACAGGGCGACGGCCTGCGAGGGCTTTAACTTGAGCTCCAAGGCACAGCTGGACGAGCATGCTCCGTAACCAGATTGGTGAGTACCCCCCAACACCATATTCAGTACCATAATGGAGTGACCAACCGAAGACAAGATCCGCGATCCGCTTGGTGTGCCTCCCAATATCATGTCCATCTTTCTTTGTCAGTTACGTAAGTTCACGTTTTAACAACTTTTAAGCAGGAGCATTCTCTTCTCCACCCTTCTCGCAGGAGATGTCTTCATGTCAAACATTTTTGCACCTTACATTTTTCCGTAAAAATCAAACCTCTGAGGCGGTTTGTGAGGGCTTCGGCACTCGGATGCATAAGTGACACTGGAGGATGAGTATGTATTAAAGCCACCCAATTCTCTGCTTTGCGGCCGCCATCGGCAATGCTAATTACCTTTTTTCAATTAAGCATAATTAAACTGGCTACCTTCACTGTGACAGTAGTTAGTTCTTTGCAGAAATGCACATGGGAGTGCTTGTGAATGCTCCGGTACCAAGAACATGGATCCACAACGCAGACGCCAGAACTGGTTGCCCTTCGTCAAGGCCCTTCAGGTGTCCGTTCATCAGTTTAGTGAAAAGCGTCTCCTACGTCATCGGACCGAATCCAGTGAGGTGCACAATCCGCGGATTGCTCATTTCATCTCCGTGGACAATTTTGGCAACCAGGCCGTACTTGGACATCGTAAAAGTAGTAAGTAGATTTTGGTGAAATCTTATTGTGCTTACTTTTATTAATAACACAACAAGCATTGGAGTTTTTCAATAAGGAAATTAACCACTGTGTGCATCAGTAATGCTCTTGCTTAATAAAATATGCAACTGGGAAAGAAGAAATGCGGATTTTAGCAAACAGTAATCACAGATGTAAATAACTGACAGGACCCCTGCTCGGCACTATATTGATTTTAAGTTCTACTCTCGCATATCTTGTCGAAACGAATCAACGAGTCGATCCTAATGAAGTCTCTCAGAATGAATGAAAAGGTTCGCGTTCCAGGTATTTGCATGGACAAGGAAGAAGAAGTTTCGAGCCCCGGATCAAATGGTTTATTGTCCTGAGCTGTCGAACTCGTACAGGAGTCCATTGTTAGGATACGATATAGTCTATCCAAGAACCTGAGATAGGACTATCCTAAC